CAAGACTGGACCGAAATGTCACAGAAAATCAGTGACAGGAAGACCTGACAATTTCAGGGAGTCTGAAATCCCAGTCCTAGGTGCTTACCACTTCCATTCAATACATGACTTTAGAATGCCCTCCAGGCCCTTGGACAAAAGCTCCAGGATTGTGTCTCCACCTTTACTTTGACCAAGTCAAGGGACACCATTAATTTTTTTTTTTAATTCCTGCTTCCTCTTCTGGACTCATACCTAGCTCTGACAAGGCAAGCTATATTAATTAGCATTAGCCAGCCACTCTCAGATCTGGGATGAAAGGCAAGAGGCCATATATAGTGTACCCCTATTAATATTATTATTGTTGTAATTATATTTTATGGCAGTTTCCCTAACCTCCAGTGCTTAACACTGGCTAATTTCTCCATTATAAAAAGTGGGTTATTTTATTGGACTGAGTGTTTTGTGATGAGTTTGGTTGAGTTTTACCAGCTGAGACATAATTAAGAACAGCAAGTGTCCAAGCAGTACCGTTGTCTACCCCAGTGTGCAGGCAAGCAACCAATTTTTAAGAAAATGACCACTCTTTGCAGGCGTCCCATAGGTAACCACATCCTCCTTCAGCCTTGAAAGAGGCTTTTAAGGCCAGAGCTTCCACAATGCAGATGATGCTGGGCTCCAAAGACTGCCAGTGACCACCAAGCAGTCACGTCTAAACATAAGTTGCCTCTGCCAAGATTGTCCCCCAAAGCACACTGGCCCTAAGCACTCTGTGAGTTTTCACCCCAGTTTTGGCTGCTGCCTGCTGTAATGCGTGAGGGGTTCTTCTGGGCAAGTAACCTTGGGAGAGAAGGTTAAATGGTCAGACGGCTGCCTTATTAGGGAGAAACTGCAGGAAAATGGCTCAACCTAAAGAGCCAGTGGCAAGTGCTCTCAGGAAAACAATCCAAAAGCCTGAGGACATAGGACCTCAGCATCCTTCCTTCAGCTCCCGATTTAGCTTGAGAGCGGGTGGCCACTCAGAATGGAGAGTAGAACTTAAAACGCAACTCTGGAAGTTAGTACTTACCTTAGCTTCTCTAACTAAGCCTCTTTGTCTTCTGATGGAAAATGGGGGCAATAAATAATAATATTTATGTGCTAGGGCTCTTGGGATGACTAAGTTAGCAAACACCTGTTAAGTACATAGTAAGTGCTCAGTACTCAGGGTGGCCACCTAGTCTAGAAACATAGAAAACTACATCAATGGTTTTATTGATATCATTTTTTACATGCTAAAATAATTGCTATGTCTCCAGACCTGGTGGCCGCCTTATGCGTTAGCTGATGTTATAATTGAACAAAGGGCACTGTGCTCCATATTGAAAAACACGGAGAGGCCCGTCTGCCCCAAAATAGTGCATCATCCCTGGTGCCTAGATTTCCCACGAGTGTGTAAGTTTTAAGGTATTAAAGGCTTCTTTTACATGCAAAGCTCAACAGAGAAGCCTACCCTTCCCCATCAACCTCCAGGAAAAGAAGCCATTTTTTAAATGGAAGATCGGTTTATCCCTCTGAGCATGGCAGTCCATCTTAACAGAGATGCGCTCTCATCAGCCCTGGTGGGCTTTCTGCAGAGCGGCCCTGAAGCTCCATTATCACGGGGAACCAATCTCAGACACGGAAAACGATAACCCTCCCCTCCCTTCTCATAGCCTAAAATAAGCTGTGGAGTGTCGAGTATTCCATTTTATTTTATTACTTAAGCCTCTTTAAACAACCTCTAAAGATGCCAGCCTCTGAGTTCAGCAACGTCTTGCCTACACTGGAGCTATCAGCAGGGTGGTATCCACCAGGAAGCTGAAGCCATGTTAATTATAGGGCCAAAAGGTTGGGCTGAGGGGGGCACAGGGTTTCTGTACGAGACATTCCATATTTCATGTGGACGAGCTTGATCCTTTAAGCTCTGAAAACACCCAGAGGGCAAACTGTCAGCACCATGCACAAGAATTTTGCCCTGAACAAAATGACCTTTGAGTTCTTAACTGGTTTCATATTCTTCAGGCCTCTGCGTACATATTCCTCTTCGTTCATTCTCTAACATCTTAAATGCATTTATTTGCTGGTAGGGCTGGCCCTCTCTGGCCAACAGCCACTGATTAACATCTAGTCTGCAAACCTTGTAGAAACGTAATCCTTAACAAAATGGGGAAGTTCCAAGCAAGCCAACACATTGTATTGATTTGCAGATTTCAGCCAATTGCGAGCATCCTTCTCACTAAATTACCGCTGTCTTCAGTGAAAATCCATTGAGACTCCAGAATCAAGCTGGGCCTCTTTCTTGTCACATCATCACAAACATTAAGTTCAGAGACTGATGGGTGCAAAGCACGGTTCTAAAACCTGAAATAAAATATCCATTGACAGGAATGGGACTTTTTTTTTTAAAATATGAAGTCAAGGTGAGATCTTCCACTCAGGACGTCTTTATCTAGATAGCAAACATCTTTTTCTCAGCAGTAAGCCAAAGCAGCATTTCTCTTAAGTTTAAGACTTACACTGTAGGCGTTTCTTTTTACTGCTAACACTGGGAACAGAGACAGCAGTCCTCCACAGTCTGGGACAGGCCCTTGGGGACAGGCCTCTCTGTGTCTTTGGGTAACCCAGATATGTTCCCTAGAGCTTTAGTTTCCCAGGTCGTGACAGAGAGGAAACACAGGCCAGCCGGGCACCTTAGAGGACCGTGGGGATGGAAAAAGTGGATTGATACATAACTCTTTCTTTCCTCCTCTCCTTTCACCTTTGTCCAGCCAGCTGGCTACGAGGGCAGACATTCCGCCAGCTCTTCTATCTGTGGTAATGGAAAGCAGAGACACCTAATCCCCAAACTTCATCTTAGACTTGCTGCAGTTGGAAACCTCTAGCTGCATCGGAGCTGCTGGCGATGAGCAAAGAGGGTGGGCCTGCGTACACGGACCTGCCTTCCCTTCAAACAGATGTGTTAAGGGGCAGAGGAGTGGGCTGGATCTGGAATCTATGAGGAAAAGATGCACATGGGGCCTGTCTAATCCACAAACTGGATATTCAGCCTTTGATGGAATCGGGGGTGTGGTACGCCAGCTGGAGCAGAGCACAGTGAATTCAGCTTCAAGTGGCATCCCTTTGTGCCACCACCAATCACATTTAGGGAGGCCCAGTGGCAGCTCTAGGCCTCTGATCCAATTAGGAAGGCTTGGCCCTCCTGTCATCTCTGTTATAAGCATAGGACTGAGCATGAGAACCTGCTCAACCAGTGAGCCAGACCCACATGTACAATTTAATTGTTGCCAGACACACGATGTTAACTCCAAAGAGATTATAAACCTCTTCCAGGGATGCTCACTTATTTGCTATAACTTATTAGGAGCTAAGAGAAGGCCAGCTCCCACCCACATGTATCCTGCTACTTACCCACTAGAGACTCTGAAATTTCATTCTATCAAATTTTCATGAAGGTGAAATGCTGTTGTGGAAATGCCCTCACTTCATACAATTCAGAAGAGCAAAATAACAGGGGCCTCTATCATTTATTACATACCACCATTACAGAAAGTTCCCAGTAGCAAGAAGACCCAGAAAGAGAGCTTCCTCTCTGTCCATCTCATCCACGTGTCTCAATAAACACATTGTAAGATGAACAAGATCATATTCTCACTTCACCTTGAGGTCCAAGGGCCCTGAGTTGCCCTGTGAGATTAAGAGTCATGTATAGAACTGCTCTGGGTTCGGAAAGGAATTTCTCCATCTCTGTATTTCTTAACCCAACACTGTGGTATCAGAGGAGACCTGCATAGACAGTGAGGCCAACTTCATTTGACTTAATGTCGGATGCAAATATGGACAAGATCACAGGCCCGTCTCCAGTTGGGGCTTGTAAACTTTGCAAAGTAGGAAAACTCCCCAGCTTTCCATCACATGCGTCACCCAAGAGAGGGAGGGAAGAGGATCCCTTCCTCTACTCTCACTTCTCCATCATATCTTTCTCTGGGGGAAGAATGGCTACTATTTTTTGACCAAAGGGAAGATGGAAATGTGAGGATGGAAGCAAGAAACTGAAGCAACACAAGGAAAGGGCCATGAACCAAGGAATGTGGGAGGCCTCTGGAAGGCAGAAAAGGCAGAAAATATTCTCCCCCAGAGCCTGTGGAAGGAACCACACCTGCCACACTGTGCTCTTAGACCAGTGGCCATTTGTTACAGCAGCAGTAGGAAACTAATACAGATTTTGGCTTCCTCAAGGCAGTGGACTTGACATTTGCAAACAGTTTGCCTAGGAGCCACAGATTTTGGTGTTCTTTGGCATCTGTTACCAGGCCTCTGTGGAACCTCATACACTCCCATCTACTGCCACCCAACCAGAATGCAGCCATATTAGAGGCCACTGTGTCTAATGAGTCATTTACATATCCAACAAAAGGTATGGAGTTGTCTTATGTGTAACAGGGCTGCCATGTTGAATACAACGGAGCTGGCTGCTCCTCGTGGGCCACCTCCACCAAGGTGCAGGCTCTGCACTCCACTGGGTCCAAGTCCCAGCAAATCCAGCCACCAGGGTGTGACTTTGGGCAAGTCCTCTGCCTTCTCTACCCCATAATTTTCTTATCCATAAAACAAAGATAATAAATTTCCCACTTGACAGGGCTTTTCAGGAAATCAAGTGAGAAAATCAATTTGCCCTCCACACAGGATGTGCTCAACAGGAACCTTAGCTATCAGTTCTCAGTGGTTTGGTAGGTTGTGGGCTTCGTTTGATAGCCTATGTGTATCATGTGACAGCTCCTAACCCATTTTTTCAGTCTGATTCTTCTCATCGTCCAGCCTAAATGAGCCCCAAGGGTCAAGATGAACAGATGACCCTTCCCCCTGTCCTCCAAGGAGGCCCCCAGGGTTCCAGGCAGTTGTCAGGAGTCCTGTGGCTTTCAGAAGAGTGGACCCAATCAGTTGACTACTAAGAAACGTGGAATTCTCTGAAGAAGGCCCAGCTCACTTAAAGGCACCCAGGCACGCTCACTTCAGCAGCACGTATACTAAAATTGGAACGATACAGAGATTACCATAGCCCCTGTGCAAGGATGACATGCAACTTTGTGAAGTGTTCCATATTTTTGTCAAGTAAAAAAATGACAACAGCGGAAAAAAAAAAATTAAAGGCACTGCAGGCGACTCTGCCCCACCAGGGGAGCCTTGAAGATACTCAGAGTGAAGAACAGGATGGCTTCAGGCACTGAGTGTCAGTTTATAGAAAACAGACCTGCTTTTGGGCCTCCCACAGGAATGGGTGCCTACAGCAAAGAACTCATAAGAGAATTTCTGACTTAGTATTATGGGATGTCAATGGAGGGAAACCCAGGCAGCTTCAGCTCAGGTTGGCAGTTTCTGTAGGTGGGGCTGTGGCTGAACCAAGTGGTGAGTTGGGAGCTGCCCGGTGTCTGTGCCCAAGAGGAGCCAGCCATCCATCCTTGCAATGGCTCTGAGAGAGTCCCAACACAGGGAAGGGAGCTTCCCCCAGCCATGAGAAAGAAGGGAGAGGACGACCACCTTTTACAAGATGCATTTTACTTAATGACCCTTTTCAGTTCCCAAAAAGGAGTTTTAATGACCTTTAATGACCTTGGGTAATGACCAAAGGCTCTACCCAAGCACCACCCCCCACGCCCTCCCTCCCGGGCCATCGGATTCACTAAGGCATTCGAGATCAGCTATTCGAGAGACGAGACTGCACACGGTCACGTCAACAGCAACCAAAAGAAATCCTCGGTTTCTTCTGTTTCTTTAAGAAAAAAATTTTTTGGAGTATGTGAGGGGGTTACTTTACAAGTTTGGACAATAAGTATTAACTAACTGTGTAGTCAGGAAAAAAAAAAAAAAAAACCTTTCATTTTCTAGAAGTTTGTTATGCCCTCAGGCCTATAAATAAAAAAATCCCCAGTTGGTTGATTTCTTAGTTGACTACCTGGTAGTATTAGGCATCGTGCAGACATCAGCCAATCTTTCTGCAGTGGAATCTGGTTCAGACCAATTCACGAAATTAGGAGCCAGTTCTGGGAGTAGATTGCCTTGCCTCTCCCTGCACTACATCCTGAAGTAGCACAAGCTAGGCCCAAAATGGCTTCCTGAGGAAGACAAACTCTTTTCTAGGTGTTTGTAGATCTGTGGGCTTTCACTGGGACCACAGTACAGAAGAGTGTTTTGTAACACGCGCCTTTGTTCTGTGGGGGCAGGCTGGGGAGGGCAGGACGGGGATGGGCAGGGGGAGGGGGCTTGCTCTCCAAATTCCCACTCCAATGCCAGCCTGCCAGACTGTGCACACCGACATAACAGGGGATTGTAAAAACGCACCACAAACAATGTGGCTAATGTACCGGTGTCCCCTGCAAAGAAACTCAAGGGCAAGTGAGGAAAACCCTGGATGTATCCAAGTCCACATGGAGCACCTAAAAGGAGCAGCTCTGAGGAAGTTTGGTCTGCTTCCTCTGTTGATCCCTTTCTCCAGAGAGAACCAGAGATGGGGGCACAAGGAAAAAGACAGACCAGACTCTGGCTGTCCCCTAGAACAGCCCGTTGACCACTCAGGCAGAATTTCTTTACACAATAGATGAAATGGGAATCATGCTGCCAACATCAGCAGGACAAGCAAGTCCTGTATGTTCCCCTCAACAGGGGCCTGGACACATTTCAGAAAGAGCAGGGAATCCGCAGACCAGGACACTAACTCTTGTCCTGGGTTGACAGTCACAAAATATAAGTTAATTTGTGTTTTACAAGATAAAATCTAAGGACAGAGGAGAGTGGGACAACTCCAGCCCCTTCTGGAATCACATGACCTATCTATCATCACTCCAAGCTTTTAAAATACCCTGGTCAAAATTCTGACAGGGGTGTGAGGAGGCCTTTCCTAATAAAGAATGTTCTCAAAAAATTAATGATGATGATGATGATAATATTAATAATTTAATGGAATCATGGTATTTTTCTTCTCAAATGGATCTTGAGGTCATCTCATCTAATTGTACAGATACAGAGCTGACTCCCAGAGAAATCGAGCCAATGGCCTCGGATCATCCTGTTCACGAGTGGCACAGCCAGGAACCAAACCCAAGTTCCCAGACCCCTGGGACTGTCATCTTCATATATTCAAATGAACAATGAGTATCTCCGATTTCTGGGGTTTCCCCTTTACTGGGCCTTCGCAAAGGGCGTGGACAAGTTCACTATGAGGGTGTATTCACACCATTTGAGCAAGATGGAATAAACAAAAAAGGAAATGTTTTCCAGAAGTTTGTTTCACTTGAAAGCACAGGAAAGGAGTTGGTGTATTACTCAGCTATTCTGAAGAACGGTTAAAATATGAGTTCTGTGGGTAAACTTGCATTTTAATGTGCCATCACTCTAAAGTTTCTATTTTGGCCTTTTGTTTTTTAATTTTTAATTTTAAAATCATTTAAATCTCTCCTTAGCTTGGAAAGCAAAGGGGATTTACCGACAGAGGAGTCAATAAGGACTGCTGTCCCGGGGAGGTCACAGAAATGGTTCTAGACTTTGGGGTCAATTTCGGGTTGAGGACAGGGAGAGGTAACAAAAGAGGACAAGGGGCAGTAATGCTGCTAAGCCTTTGAAATGTAAATGAGACAACTCAGCATTGTGAGGAAAGTTATCAGAGACTGGGAGTGGATGGCATTTGAGTTTGGACATTTTTAATTTTGTGAACAGGTGTTTAACCAGACTCCGGTCAGGCATGCAGTACCTGGGGAGAGTTTGCTCCCTTCCCAGAGTCCTAGGCTTAGGAAATAGTAAAATGAAGTCCTGTGATGGGGAGTCAGCCTTTTAAATAATTTTTAAAACCTAGTGAAGTTCAGAAAATAGACATTGATCTCAGAAGGCAAGCTCTGGGTGTCCCCACTTCTGTCGCCTGCTGTCTGCTTGGCAACCAACCCAGAGGCCCAAATGGGAACCTCACCACAGTGAGTGTAGTTTTTTTTTTAAAGGGGAATAACATGTAAATGTCACAAAGAATGAGACACTGCAGTCTTGGTTTCTCTATTTCCTGATCTGCTTAAACAACAAAAAGTGGTTTTAAATGGACTTCAATCTAGACACTGGCTAGGTACTCGTTGAATACATAAATAGTGCTAAAATTGAAAATTTTCACTTTGTGAAGTTTCACTGTTAGACATATAAGAGGAGTTCACAAATAGCAACGTTGTTCAATAACTACATAGTAGATTTTTTCTACTATGCTGGCTTTTTAAGTTTTAGAGAAATCATCCAAACTTGCACACATATTTCTCAAGTAATCTATGGTTGAGCTAATGCAACTATTTCAAAAGTGAGGCAAAACAGATTGAAAATTGATTAGGGATACAATTTACTCAAAACTATTTCGGTAATATTTTAGACCTACAAGCTCATTCTCTTTATCCAGGTGGAACCCACTCTAGAATTGCTCCCCTATGGTGTCTTGTATTTATTTTAAATGAAAAAAGGAAGGAAGAATAAAACCATTGAAACCAGAAAGCATATTACCTTCTAAAGGAGAAACTGAATCCAATGATTCAGGTTCATATATATGTGTATATATACATTTTTCAAAATCATATATATTTTTCAAATCTTTCATATCTTCTGGAAATATCTTGGAATGTCAAATCAATAATACAGAATGATAAGATGACATTTCTCTGAAGAAGGAATTAAGATCAAATGTCATTATCACTGTAGTATCTAAAACAAATGGAGCTAGAGTACTGCGTTTGGGATTTTTCTATGTGCCCCCCGCCACTCTGCCTTCTCCCACCCTAAGAATGTCAAGAATTTGAACTCCCTGTTCTGAAGGTGAAAGGGCATTAATTAACTCAGATCTGTTCATGAAGAGGCGAAGTGGTGAATCCTGAGACATTGGAACCATACCTTAAAGCCTCCCAAGTTTAAGATGGCAATGGATGGTGATTTCCTTTGGTGCCTTGAAGGTAACTGAGAACAACATCGGAATTGTAGATCATTAATTAGGACCCAGTAAGATCTCCATTTGCATCTCAGTGATTCTCGACTCCTTTATTTCAACATTTAGCTTTAGGTTTAAAATATTTGCTAAGAAAGCAGAAAGGTGATTAACAGAGACTTTTAAATGTGTGCCATAGTTACACATTCGGTCAACAGAGGAAAAGGAAACTATACAGCGTAAGTTACAAAATCGTTATTTCGTGTTTCGTGAACATTCCAATAAACTCTCCATGGTGGTATTATTCAATTCGACAGTAGAAAAGCAAAACAGAAATGAACTCAAGAGTCAGCCCAGCTCCTTGACATCTTGCAGAGAACCTCGAGGAATCCCTCAGCTGCAGTCCGCCTGGGAATCTCAGAGAGGACATCTTGCCATTTCTCCTGCGAGACTGTTTACTCGAGGTGCCCAAGGAAGAGGAAGCTGCAGCTCACTAAGGGACCACAGAAGTTACTCCCACCCCAGGGTAAATTCCTCTGGGCTACAAAGAGGGCTCCCAAGGGGCCCAGTTTCCCGAAGGAATAAATGTGGATGGTCTGGAGTTTGCATCATCTCCTAGTGAATAACTTAACACGTTTGGATGTTGTTTCTTGTTAAACTCCTTTTTCTTAAATTAGCTAGAGCTACCAGGTTCTAGAAGAGCATGGCCACCACTTTGATACGATGTTGTTGGGTTGTTTTAAAATAGTTTCACTTTATTATTATTTGATATTATTATTCCAACAGATTAGATTAAAGGCAGTGATCACTAACACAGAACACAACAGAGCTAACAATCAGCCAGGCTGCTCCCAGGACCAGGTCCGTCCGGCCTAAGGCGCTGACATGCACGTGGTAGCTCATACACTGCTACCCTCATAGCACAGACTGCGGAAGGAGTGAAACGACAGATGCTGCAGTACCCTTGGAAGCTATTTAATAAATATCATCAGAAAGCAAAACAGAAAAGAAGCCCTCCGGAGCACAATCACCTTAGGTCAACTGAATGTCCTCTAGTTTATTCAACCAAAAATTGAGAGAGAAGGAAAATATTAAACAAGAAAAGCAGATCTTAACACTAGCAGTAAATAAATTTGTACAACGATTCAGTCTGTATAATATGATGAAAT